GATGGGTTAGGCGCCATGAAACAACTGATGCCACACTGAAGCCTACAACCACAAATGTCTTACTATTGGTGGAAGGAGGTTCTGTTGCCGGCAAGTCCCTTGAGTTGAAACCTTAATTTGGTGTTAAACCAATGTAATTTACATATCGGTAACATAGCAGATCCCTTGTAGACTGATATATTGTATACTGTATTGCTGTAGTTGTTTACTCTAATATCAAGTCCTATTTGCTTAGTCACTTCATAAATCAGACATATTGTGAATAACATGAGTTAGCATATTGTGAAACTCAGTATGAATGAAACTCTGTTAGTACAACAACATAATGGTGAAATATATGTTTTGAAGTTTGTGTATGTCTCGGTTATGATGTTCCAAAACTCTTCCATTTAATATATATTTCAGTGTTATTGTATCCATCAGTCAGTAGCTTGTTTACATTTGCCTTTCTTCTATCCAGCACGGTACACACATTAATATAGCTTAATGGATTTCTTGTTATATTGAAGTCTTTAGTATGCCATACAAGGATGACTCCCTCCCCAAATCCTACCCCCCATCTCTAGCTCTTGCTGACATGGCAAGCAGGTATACCAACTTATGATGATGCACTGGGGATCATATCAAAGCATTTTGTCTAGCGTTTCAAATTGTAGTGACGGAAAATCTAACGATACTTTTTATGGGGACCGTACATTGGGTCATGGAACCAGCTTTTGAGATTCATAGGTTCTGCAGGACATTTTGTCTTGTAGGAGTTGGAATTGGCTGTGATCCTTTACCTCCTCCAACCTTGCTTCATGAAAAAGATTTTGGTACTTCATGCTCAAAGGAAAGAAAATAGTTTCATCTCCTTAGACCCATCCCTTGAGTGGGCTAATCCCAAAGATAGGGTCTGAAATCCTTGTCTAAGAATGAATCTTCTATTTCTTTTGGTCTGAAATTCATTTCTATGCTTTGAAAACTGGCTGCGATTGGTTCTTGCTATGTCTTCCTTTGGTGTTGGCAGTTAATTTTTAATTTAACGTACATATAATTTTATTCTGATCAAAATGTGCAGCAGTTGGAAATTATATCTCAAACATGATTTTAAAAATAATTGAACTTGTACAACTTAGCTGCATTCCTCAGATGTATGACCTGAGGAGTATCAAGTCTTATTTGGCCTTCTTGTAGGGTAGGTCCTTGGAGCGGGACATACATTAAGGATCTGTTCATCTACCGAGGCCAATATTCAATAATTATGCTTCCACATTGTTTGGTGGTGGGGAGTATTATTGGTGTTTTAGTAGGATTTCTCCCTTCCTGGAGTACAATACTTATTGCATTAGTATTTGGAGCATATCTTTACCTCCATCCCCCCTCTGACTTCATACATTGTATGTGACTTGCCTGAGCAAGGTAGAAGGTTTTAAATGAAGGATTAATCCTGAAATATCATCTTAAACCAAGGCTGGATCAGTCAGTTTAATTACTCTCCCTATCTCTCTCCTGAGGTGGTCTGGACCCTGAGGATAAACCTGGGAAATAACTTGTTTTTTACCTAAACTACATGAGGGAAGCAGAGCATACAGGTTAATGTGGTGGTAGAACTTGTTTCCTTCAGTTTTTATTAGTAAACTTCGTATTTAAAGGTCTCTTTTTGGATACATAGATATAATAAGAAGGTATAAACTAATTAATGAATTAGTAGCAGCCACCAGTCTCAAGGGTTCCTGGCTGTTCAACCAATAGACTTAATTGGTAGTACTGTACAGTATGTGGGTCACTCAGTTTAGGTTTGGATATAAAATGAGATTCCAGGGTCAATCCATGATCTTTCTCTATATCAAATAGTGTTTTAGTAATGTACTGTAAGTGGAGAGAATGACTTTTTATACGCATAATTTGCATATGTAGGTTTATATGTAGGTAAAAGTCATACAATGTATAAATTTATTGTTGTACAAGATTTTAAGGTTGTTTACCATGTATGGGTTTTTGTTGTTTGTTTAACCAAGGAAAGTTCCTCCCTGGCTAATATATACATCTGAATTTTATGTTAATGAACAGAGAAACAAAGTGATCTGGTATATAATGAGTTTAGATAATTATTTTTTCTTGTTCACATTGAGTTGACTGACCTTTGGTTCTCAGTGTTCACTGTTAAAAGCCATTAATTTGAATCAGCTTCTTAAAGTTTTATATTATTAAATATGTATAGCATTATTTGCAAAACTTTTTTCTAGTAATGTAAAAAAATAACAATGAAACACAGTACAGATAAAGTACTGTACTGTACAGTACATGAAAAGAAATGTGACTCTTGAAGCTGGTTGGAAAATGTGGCCTTTTATCTTGTTAAGGAGATTCCAGTTATTATGTGTGCATGGTACCTAAATCAAGTTGTTGTTATATATATACAGTATATATATATATATATATATATATATATACAAGTAAATCACTATAGGTGCGCGTGATCCAGGTATATGCTGATAACCACAAGGAAAAGAAAACACGAAGTTCCCAAGCGCTTTCGTGTAATTCACATCTTCAGGGGTGAGTACAGACTAAGAGAAGTACAAAACAGGGTACAGTATATATATACAGGAGGGTGAGATCAGGGTATATATACCCTGTGCCCTGTTACTCTCTTCTTATATTTTTTTTAAGGGAAATCTATGAAATTAGGTTGATTAACAATTAATCAAAGGGTTTTGTGTGCATGGCATTCTTTTGCATGCCTTCCCAAGTTTAAGTTGTAGAACAAAATGGTAGGGACAGCTGTTTCAAGGCAGGTGATTACTTATGCTGTAACACTGAAACCACATCACCCTCTTTATGGAACTGTGTTTGTAATCAAACTATATAAATGTTTATCCATGAATTTAACTGGAGTCTTCAATTTTATATTTTCGTCCAGTGACCCTTTTTTGACTTACCTCACTAGGGGGAGATGATAGATCGAATAGAGTACCATGTTGAGCATGCAGTGGATTATGTCCAGACTGCTACCATTGATACAAAAAAAGCAGTGAAATATCAAAGTAGAGCGCGGCGGGTAAGTTTTTTCTTTATTTTGTTTTATAATTTTTTCGTCGGGAGCACAGGAAGAAGAGCAACGGTGTCGTAGGTTGGTGTATGTGCGCTGCCAGGAGTCTGCGCTTGGGTTATAGGTAGACTTGTACATAGTTTACCCTGTGTATGATGGCATGACAGGAGAGTAGTTCACCACCAGGGTTTTTTATGTGATGTTTTGTTAACTAGATGAATGAACAGATATAGACCGTCTATGACTTACTAATCGTCAATGTGGTTACTAATTTTGACCCAATGAAGAGATGAGAGACTGAAAAATCTCCGAGGATCAAAATGGTTTCTCACATTTTATTAGGTGCTTTTAGATAAGACAGTTTGATTTTCAAGTCTTGAAAAGACAATATGATTCAAGAAGCTGTCTGCAGTATATTTTTTTCTGCTGTTCAAATAGTGGTTTTTTATTGTTTTGAATGCCAATTTTGTGCATTTCATGTCCTTACCTATAACCCAATGTAGGCCTTGCACATCACACACGAAAGTATGTACACAACAGTAGCCACAGAAAGTTTATATCTGTATTGGTGTCTAGTAGCCACCACCATAAGGATTTTTTTTTTCACAAGCTGTGATTGTTGCTGAATGTGTCATCATTAATTGTTTTTTGTGTCTCTTTGCCTCTCTCCTCTATGCCTGCTTCCCTCACCAACCCACGATTGATCGATCAACCACCAACCACTAGGGGGAGATGATTGATAGGATTGAATATCACGTAGATCAGTCCGTCGAATATGTCGGCAAAGCTATGGAGGACACTAAAAAGGCACTTAAGTATCAAAGCAAAGCACGTAAGGTGAGTAACCTGCTGAATTTTCACTTTTTTATATCATCATTGCAGCTAGATGCTAATGTATTTTTTCTTTCTCTTTTTTCACCCTTATTTCCTACATATATATTTGACCCATCCTTATTATCCCTCATGCAATATTTCTTACTGATAATCTGCATGGCTCCTCTCTGCATGTAATCCTCTTGCAACACAAATATCCATGGGATGTCTCTCTTACTTTCTGATCTTTTTTATGATGGGCTTGGTAACTTGTCTTATATATATGTTCTGCTTTCACTTGATGTTATGCACGTTCACTGCACTCTTGCATCTGGCATGGACCAACTGATACTTCATTATGCTCTGTATACATTTAACCCCTCTATGTTGACTGTATGTAATGATTTCTATGATTAATTAATTGTGATTATGTTTCCTGTTACTAATGCCTTATTAATATTCTGCAACTGTTTCCCCTCTGATGTTTATTCATCTTGCAACTTTTAAAACCAAACACCTTTAACAATTGAAACTATTAAATGATCTTTACCACTGAACAACAACAATGTGTGATGACTGTCTCCCGGTGCTTGTTTCTCTGTTACCTGGGTATTAATGGCTTCCAAACACATGACTGCCGCCTCTCCCCTATATAACCTCTTGTTATCTCCTACAAACACTTGACTGCCGTGTTTCTCCCTGTATATCCTCTTGGTACCTCTTACAAAATGATTTCTTTGGTACCTCCATCCTGTTTTTCAATGATTTGTTCTGGTAATAATATTCTGTTTCCCCTGTCCGTTCCACAATCTTTGTGTGATCCCTCCATGGATTTTTTATTGTCCACTACTTGTATCCCTCATCAACCTATTTCCTTATTCCTGCAAATAACATCTGTCCATCGTGGTCAACATTTTGTAAAGTCCTCTTTTAACATGTCTTGGGTTTATTTGGTTCTTATTCTACACTGCCAACTGTCTCCTCAACCTTGCCTTGTTTCCTCAACCTTTTGTTATCTTTGTGTTCTGCCTCTCTGTTGTCTTGACTCCCTACCCAACCTGTCCCAACCTTCATATCCTGTGATCCTTAATCCTATCCTGCATCCTGCACAATCCTCACCCCCAAACATCCCGTCCCCTGGCCACAACTACAGGGTGAACTGATGAATAGGATTGAGAATCACGTACAGGAAGCACAGGACTATGTCGACACTGCCAAACAGGATACTAAGAAAGCCATCAGATACGAAAGCAAAGCACGGCGGGTAAGTAGCAAAACAGAAGTAATGATAACATGGGTGTGGACAGCTGCTGTGGCTGGGTTGCTTGGTGATTGTTATCGCTTGATCTCTTCGTTTTCTCATTTCATTTGGGTGTCTTAAAAATTGGTGTTGTTCTTCTGTTCATATCATTCTATATTTTCTGAGGGCCCCCTTTAGTTATAGATGTGACTTGATCAGTGATTGTGGTATGGGAAATAATTCGGTATATCCGGTGTTCATAAAGCTGATCATGTATGGATTTGGACTGATCTTGGCACAAGCTTAGATTTAAGTCAGAGTAGTGTGTCCATTATATTTTTCATTGAAAAACCCCTTTCCTGATATTTTCTGTATAGATGAACAAGACGCATCTTTTTCTAATTTTCTCTTTTTAGTCCCCTCATGGAAAGTGCTTTTTGCTCTTTTTTCCAGTTGATTACTGGTATTGGGTTAATGGAAGTGGTATCGCAAGTACTGAATGGTGTGTGGCCCTCTTGTGAAGCTATGTGGGAGATGGTTGTTGTATAGTTCTGCTTAGCTTTCCAATAGCTATAGTTTTGTCACTGTGGACAGAATGCTGTACATGGCTATTTTATTTTAAGTTACTTATTTTCTTTGATATTATTTTTTGTTTAGATACATTTTTTTTTTTTTTGCCTTTATACAGTTCATAGTTAATAGTGCTGTCATAGCTCTTGTAGTTGATGTTTTCATGAACTTGGTATTAAATCAAGTAACTTACAGTCATCTTACTGACATAAAATTTTTAGAATTTATATATTTATATACAGTATTACATAGATATAAAAGTAAAATTTAAGTAATTTTTGGTTTCTTCTATTATTGAGAGTAAACAGATCCTAGTACTGTATTTGTGAATGTATATTAAAAATCTCTATTTTTTATCGATAGTTATTGTATACGAGTAGCTTTTCTGTTACTTATGATAGTTCATAGAAACTTTTGCATCACACCCATTATTATTTATTTTGTAATTCCCTTTTTTCTTTTCTCTCCACAGAAGAAAATTATGATCATCATATGTATTATAGTTTTGTTGTTAGTTGTTTTTATTATCTTAGGAATAAGTTTTTCATAGAGCAGGTAGTTTGGTAGTGGGTGTTGAGAGACTGTCCAGGTAGCACTGGCCATTTAGGTACTTTTCCATGGTTGTACTGTGCTCATTGGGGGAACTAGTGTTTTGGCTTTTGTTTACTTCAGGAGACTTCTTGTTCAGAACCTTGTTTAGAGTGTTTTGATTTCAATCAAAAGTCATAATAAGGATTAGAATTTTGTAAAATTGTAAATTTAGGATTTTAAAGTCTCAGGAGATTAGAGGTGATTAGACTATCCTTATAATTTGCAAGACTTTGAAAAAGAAGCAAAGAACTTTTAAACAAGTACAGTATCATCATTATCACCATATCATTCACAATTTTGTTCACCGATGGAGTAACTTGGTTGTTCTGCATATCAGGTTTAATTTTATACAGTATGTAGGAATAAACATTAGTAAAATTGTGTGCCTAGATAAATGCATAAATTATAAAAGCAATATATTTGATGTGAACCATATGGGTTCAGGCTGCCCAGTAATTAAGAGTAGTTTCACAACCTGATGCTTTCCTAGCGATAGGTGGCACATGTAGCAGATAAAGGCCTCTTGCCGTAAGCTAATGCTATTAAATATATAAATTGTCAGTCAGAAGAATTCATCAAATATTTTTTTTCTGTATACACTGGTATTGGCAAATTAGAAACTATTTTCTTTAAGTGTTTGCAAGTACTATTTGAATGGAAGTATGCAGTCATTATATGTAAAATAACCATGGTGTTAAGATGTTTGTATGGAAGTTGCTACAGAACATACAATATGTGCCAAATAAAAGTCATAATTTTTAGACTTTGGTGATTCTTCACTGTTCAGCAATTTTGAGGTGGTAACTACTGATGAGGGCCAGTATGCAAGACAAATTTGGCTGGTCTTCGTTATGAAAAGTTGGTATGAGTGTTGTCTAGTCCACTTAGAGGGTTATCAACTTGGTTGCTGGATTTCACAATTCAGTAATGGATTGGGTGTTTAAATACCTGACTGCAAGTAGTCTTTTTCGATGCCCATATTGGGAGGTCGTTGTGAAGGACTCAGAATATCCAATGTGCTGTTTAGCTGCACACTTTGCTTTAGTCATCAATTCCATCATGACGGGTAAACTGAAGTGTTTCATGCAATTAGCATCAAGACTTCCAAGTCTTTCATTTTTGTCATCCTATTTTATGGTATTTAATTGATTAATGTAAAAAAAGATATTTTATCCTGTGTGGATTCCATTATGTCATATATACACTACTTTAAACTAAAACAAAATATAATCCATATAAAGCTATATCCTACTACTGTATGTTACCAGTTTAAGTGAAAGCTAAAAGTACAGTTCAAACATTGTAGCATTTAATAACATCACTGAAGTATGTGCATTTTGATAGAATGAAACTAATATGATCTACTGTTATACAGTATTTAAAAATAAATATTACTACGTACAGTAATGTATATTCATGATGTGATAGACACAAAGTACTGGTAAGAGATTTTAATTAGGTCAGTTTGTATCACCTCATGCTTTTGTTATTGTTTCACTATTTATTGTTATTTTATATTATTTTTATTATTATTGTTATTTTATTTAAATATTAAAAAATCCACACAGGATCCTAATATGTTTATATGTATAGGCTAACTGGAGTTGTCACATCATAAGTTATCCTAACCAACCAAGGTACTAACTGGTACTAACATTAACATATCCAAATACAGTATAACACTAAGTTCCCATTTAAGTAGACAAGCATACTGTGACTGTATAATATGACACTTTTGGCACTGTATTATTTAAAAAAAAAATTTGACACTTGGGATTCATCGTTTATGTTTAAGGCATCGTACTTTTCTTACACCAACGCAACAACCTCAGAGTGATTGTTCGTCTGAGTTTTTGCGTGAATTTTTATTTAACAGCAATATCCTGCTGATGTTTTGATTTGGGTTTATAGAAAGCATGATGAACTTTAAAAGTATCAAGGTCACAGTATTATTAGTAAGTTCTAATAACAATGAAATTGTCTAATGTACAGTATAAGGGACTGATGATGGTTGGGGGCACGAGATGTATACTACAAAATGTGACCGGTGATAGGAAATGCTTTGGCTTGGATGATTGCACGATATTATGAATTGGGCCTCTATACATGCTTTTTACATTGGTGATGGTCTGCTTAATGTAAATTCTAAATTTGCAGTTTTGTTGTCTATTTGCACCATTAAGTAACCATATGCATGTCATCTTAAAACATAAAATTATGTTTCATATTGTTCAAGGGTTTGAAAATTACACAATGTAGTGAAGCTCACTAATCATTGCAAAACTATAAATGAATTGGCAATAGAAGTGTCTTTGCACATACAGTACCATATATAATTGAGATCTCTTTTATGGCAGAAGAAATTTTTTTCATTAAATAGTCATCCAATTCATATATAGTACTGCTTTATAATTACTAGAAATATACTGTGATGCCAATTTAATTTATGCTTCTAATAAGATTTTATTATAAGAGTTTTGTGTCTTTCGTGTTATTGTTGAGTTCTGCAAAAAATTTATAGAATATTAATTGGATTGGAATATGATTTTAAGTCACACATTGCATTTGCATGCATTTATTTTAAATTTGCACGGAGTACATGTCGGTTCATGTAAAATTATACTACAGTATATATATCTGTAATTTTTATGCATTTTTCCTATATTTTCAGCTGCATGACAGCATTGAGCACATTGCAAATATATATAATTAACAAATGCAGTACTGTGCATTATTTTCACTGAAAACTTATTTAAGATGCTCATTTTAAAATTATTTTATACTTTTTGTGTTATTATAACATTTTCAATATTCTTTTAAAGTTTAATATTGTTAATTTCATATTTTCATTTGTGCACAATTAATAAGTAGTGCAGTACATTGCATGATATTTGAATAATTTACAGTGCAGATGTTTTTAATTACCAAAATGTTCTCTGCAGTAGAATAAGCTTGCTGATATTCCAGTCATATTGTATTTATAGTCTTTTAGTTATTATTCATAATTTTTACAGGACATTATTTATATCTTTGCTCACATTATTCCTCTTGCAGAAAAGGTTGATATGCATGTTCATTGGCGTTGGCATCTTGTTAATCTTAACAGTTGTTCTGGCTGTCTACTTTTCAAGTTCCCCATCTAAGCCCACTCATACAGAAGGCACCCCACCATCATAGTAATTAGCAGCAAGCAATGGTTTTATTTTCAAGTAGAAATTCAATTTATTTTCCATCTGTAGAAGTCATTAAATACCTGGATTACTTGGTAAAGCTCCAGAGAAAACATTATTTAGTTTGCAATAAGAAGTTCGTTCCTAATTTATTACTGAAATATTAGACCTGAATGTCGATCATTCAACAAAGAAAATATTTTTCAATGTTTAAATAAAATGTATATGATGTATAAATGTGTAATATATATAATGATGAAAATATGAGGATAGTTAGGATTTTGTCTGTCTGTTTGAGAAAGTAATCTTTTTAATTAGATCCCCCCAGAATTTTATATTTTAACAAAGTGGTTTCAGTATGTATTTCAAGTGTGTTTGTCTTAAATGTTATCTCTATGAATAATAACCAAAGATATTAGTGGTAAATCTGTTAAGAAATCTTATTTATTGTGTAGTGCCTCGCCTTTGTACAGAAGTGCCAATGTAAATTATAGTTAGATATGCAATTAGTGCATTAGAATATAATTTTTAATTAAAAAGATTAGGGTGGGGACCATAGCTGAGCTGGTAATAATCTTGACTCAACCCATAAGAAGGGAGTTGGATAGGAGGACCAGCTTGGGTCAGAGAAATATCTCTGTGACGAGTTAATCACTTAGTCACACAAACTCCCCAGACTAGTTAACCCTTCCTACTTGAAGGCTACCACCTTACAAAGTTGCATAAAGGAAGATTAGGATCTTCACCCATCTTTTTTTTCTCATTGTGAGTGACAACTCCAGTTTGATCAGTTAATTATTAATTGTTTGAGTATTCAAGTTTTAAGACTTTGTGTTTAATATTATAAGGAGAAACGTGTATGCATGTTGTTAAATATTTTTATTATATTAGGACAGTTATCATTCCTAACAATTAGTTTTTTATGTTTTAAAATGAAGTGTTTGGTTTTGTTAAGAAGTGATCACAAAGATTTCTGCATTTGTAAAGGATAACTACTATTCTTAAAATGCAAAAATTATTTATCCTTCATTATAGATGAAATTGTATGGGAGTAATGTGTCATGCTTCATAGTGCCTCAGTAATACCATTCTTTACACTTTATCCAACTTAATTTTAGCATGGAATTTTTACAACTTTTCAAGACTCCTCTAATCTTTCAACACACACACACACATATATACCTGTAATATATATGTATATGTATATATATATATATATATATATCTATATATATATATATATATATATATATATATATATATATATATATATATATATATATATATATATATATATATATATATATATATATATATATATATATAAAATAATAGTAGTAGTAGTAGTAGTACATTGTTTTACCAGACTTTGTTCTTCCAAAATAAACAAGTTGGGAGCAGTGAAGGAGAAAGGGAGGGCAGCTGTCACCATCTTCCTCCCTCACTTCTTTTAACCTCACAGACTTATATCACTAATTGTGATGACAATATTTAATTGATATATTTCACAGAATAAAATAAAGTGTTGCAGTGACTTGCTGAATGTACTCGAGTTGAACCTTATTTGTGACATTAAGGATATATAATACAGCTCACTAACCTGACTACCTTTGATTGTACTCAATACACAGGTGTACAGCTGACCACAGTGTAAATCTAGTACATCTGCCTCAAACAAAAATAATAATTTCCACATCATAGTGATGTTTTTGGTTCAACACAAACAAGCTAGAACATTATACAGTATTAACACAAGTAATCACCATAGGTATGTACGTATACTAATATCCTCCTCAGGAAAAATTAATTAAATTGTTTTTTTATATACTGTATTAATAGTTTTGTTAAATACAACCCCATGAGATGAGATATCATTATTATATATATATATATATATATATATATATATATATATATATATATATATATATATATATATATATATATATATATATATATATATATATATATATATATATATATTTATTTATATATATATTATTTGGTAACCTGACCATTTCACCTCATGAAATACACATAAGGTGTACACTCACTACAAAATGTATCTGCAAAATTTTATACTGGACAATATGACACAATGGACGAAGGATTTTAACAATCCTACCGATACAACAGGAGTCGCAGTATTCATGTTGACATCCATCGGACCCCACCTTGCAGATACTTTCTGTAGTGAGTGTACAACCTCAGTCTAGGGCTTATGCAATGTTCACTTAATAATATCCTCTCCAGCCCATTTTTGTGTAAAATTTGATGACAAAATTGTATACCTGTACTGTATATGGTTTACTTTATATAAAAAAAAACCCCACCTGAAATAATTAATCTATACAGGAGTTGGTAACCAAACTTCTGAATGCCCTAGACATATGTACAGCCCCACCACTGACCTTACATATGTTTACATCATTTCCATTATTCTGGCATAACTCTTGTTAAAATATAATTTCTAAAGAACCCCATAAACCCTGACAACATTCTGGATGTGAAGGTGTCTGGTAATTTGACGTATTACTCTCTCTCATATATATATATATATATATATATATATATATATATATATATATATATATATATATATATATATATATATATATATATATATATATATATATATATATATATATATATATATATACATATATATACATATATATACATACATATACATATACATATATATACATATACACACAGCTCCTCCCCGACTTACAACCTGCCTCAGTCGTACCAAAAAAATTTCAAATTACGTATTTTCAAGTCCCAACGTCAGTACACAGACAAATTTCCATTGGCAATTCACATTAAAATGGCTGGCAGGCTTAAAAGTGGGAGTTTTGTGGTGCCGAAACAAAAAAGTGACACCCATTTTAGTTTTTCTATGTATTATTTAAGCATTTTCGACTTACGACCTGGATTTGGGTCCCTAATCCCGTCGTAAGTCGGGGAGGAGCTGTATATATATATATATATATATATATATATATATATATATATATATATATATATATATATATATATATATATATATATATATATATATATATATATATATATATATATATATATATATATATATATATATATATATATATATATATATATATATATATATATATATATATATATATATATATATATATATATCTCTCTCTCTCCTTTAGCCAGAAGAATTGGTGCAGAACATTTCCGGGAATGGGAGATTTTCGGGTAACGAAATGACTCTTAAATCCCTCATCCCCACAATTTTCTGGGTAACAGAAAAATGTTCTCGGAAGTTTTAGACATGCATTATTTCATCTTAAAGCCCATTCCCATAATTTTCCAGGTTCCATAAAATTTTTCTCGGAATTTCCGGAAAGTGCACCTAATTTTCGTCTCTCAAACCCGAAAAAACTCCCCCTCACCGGAATTTTCCGGGTACTTGGAAAATTTTGCAGAAAATGTGCCCCTCGGAAAATCTTTCCCAAGGCTGGAATTTTCCAGAAAATTTTGGCTTTGGGAACAATTTTCTGAGAAATTTCAATTTAGGCTATTGGAGAGTTCCGGGTTTGAAGGATTCCGGCTAACGGAGATATTACTGTACACACACACACACACACACACACACACACACACACACACAGTCCCCAGGATATGAAAGAGTTCCGTTCCTGGGGATGTTCTCAAGTCGAAAATGTATGCAAGTCGAAACACGATACAGTGGTCCCTCGGTTAACGAACACAATCCGTTTTAGAAAGTTGCTCGTTAACCGAAAAACTCATTAACCGAAACCATTGTTTCAATGGGTTTTTGGGTAATTGGTTCCAGCTCACCGAAAATTGCCTATATTCAATAAAAAAAAGGTAGAAAAGTACACTTTCTTTGAGGTGTGTATGTGTAGAAGGCTCCTGGATGATGATGATGGGAATTAGAATGGGGGTGGAGGAGAAGGGAGAAGAGAAAGCATTGGGGTGGAAGAGAAGTCACCCCATGGCGCTATTTCACCCATAAAATTTTAGTTCTCTTGGTGTAATTCAAGATTATTTTCTTTAAATCAACACTGCACTGCATTATATATTGTCAATGTGTAAAATAAATTTCAAAATGACCAATAATTTGCTTGCAAACACAGAAAAAAGCATTTAGTTGAAGAGAGTCTCAAGCAAGATGTTACCTCCACTGAAAAGATAGAGAGACTGGCGCCTGTTTGGTGTGTTGACAGGCTGGATGGCGCGCATGAAACTAGTTTCCTTACATTCAATTATGTTCAGTAATTGTTAAAATGACTAAAAAAAAATTAATATTAAACTTTTAAAATTATTGAATAGTATAAACTTCTTGATATTTACTAAAATGGTAAGGAATATAAGCCCTAGAACCGATTACTGTATTGGCGGGCTAATACTACAGCTGGTGGACCGCCAAATGCAAGCGAAAACATGTTGAGGTCGGCTCGTAAGAAACTCGTTAATCGAGGAATTGCTCGTTAACCCAAGTTAAGAATCTTATGGAAGGTAACTCGTTAACCGAAATCTCTTTAACCGAGGTGCTCCTTAACCGAGGGACCACTGTATGTGCATACCGTATTTACAGAACAATGTTTATAATCCCGCTACATCATAGCCAAATTCCTTATATACATCTAATATCATTTATTTGAAGAGAAAATAAGAAATAGTGACAAAATACAGTAAATAAAAGTAAAATTCGGTTATCAGGTAAATAAAATACTGTAAATTTAAAGTTTTAACCTTGTTTGTATCGAAAATTACAGTGGGGTCTCATTTTGTGCAGGTATATCGTATTGGTTTATGTCTGTGCATCAGAAATCTGCACAAATTATGCCCTTTAACATGTGTTAAAATTGCTATACAGTATAGTGTATTGTATTGGACGAGCCATACCTTTACTCTAGAACAACTTTGGGTAACTAACTTAACCTTCCAAAAATGACACAATGTCACATTAACTGCATCTACATTATTAAATAAATATTTTAAGAAACCCCAGGAAGTTAATTATAGTGGAGGTGTAGGGAGCTCTGGGAGACACGAGGCAGAGGGTGAAAGGTAGTCGGATTCAAATCCTTCAAAATCAACTGCCAACAGTTGTAAAGTGACTTCAGCTTCATCACCAATCTCCAGAGTGGCAGGGTCATCATCACTGGATTTTCTGTGAATTGTTGAGGCTTAAAATAGGAGGTGATGAGATCTTGGCAGCGGCATTTAAACTCCTGGTAATGTTGCTTGTAGGGTCTCTTGGTCTGCTCTGGTACCGTCACACCACCAACACTGATTTAGATTGACATTTTATTTTGAAGTCATTTAATACAGGTATCATATTTTGTAATATTTTTTAATGCTGTATGTTATATTTTTTATGATGAAACATACACCATATTAGACTGATCATGAGAATATAATAATGAATAAATAAAAACACTGGTGAATGAGGCAACAGCCAGGCGCATAGACTCAATTTCAAGAAGGAAATGATAAGTGACCATATTACCCCTCCCCCTCCCCCAACAACACCCTGCCTCTACCCCACTCTCCTCCACCTTCCACCTATTGTCTATTCTTTCTGTAATTGTTTTAAGTAAATAAGAACAAGAATAAGAGATAAGGTATGAGAAATCCTGTAAAGAAACAAAAAAGAAAAATAGCGATAGATAAATAGAGTAATTAAAAAATAAATAGAGATAAGAAAGAAACCTTATATCTCTGGGGAAAAGGTTAATTTTTCCGCATTCTCGTGTTATTGACCTGACCTGATACAATATCAGGTCACCCGTTGTATAAACACTTCTCTTATTTGCAGTGAAGATGGGGTGATAGATTAGTGGTCTCATATTACTGATCTGTTGCAATGTCGGGTTATATTTTATCCATTCATGTAAGCGGTAACCTCTCACACGAGACCCACTTAAAATGAAACCCCACTGTACAGGGTTTAGGAAGTGTCATAACTTATGATATACAAATGATACAAGTCCAATTGTCACTGTGATTTATTTATTATTATTATTATTATTTTATTCTCATGTCCTTAACTATGTACTGTTTTGAGCATGAGTGAAATCTTTAGAAGAACTCAGTTTTGAAAAAAAAATAGTAGTAGTATAATAGTACAGACACTCCCCGGGTTACAGAACACTTGGTTTACAGAAATTCAA